GACGAGTTTGTAAGTTCTTAGAAGATATCGCTTCCCCCCCACCCCGCCCCGCCACACACACACAGAGCCCGGGCAGGGTTTCCTCACAGGGGGTCTCCTGGCCGCTTCCTCCGTGACTAAAAATAATCCCAGTTTGAAATCGTGGCTGCGAAATAAGGGGGTTTACATCGCCCCACAGCCGGCCCTCACCCCAAATTACAGCCCTTTGCGGGGAGGGGGTGGGTGGGAGTAGCTGTTTCATGGGCTCCCTCCCGTGCCTGTGCCCTCTTCCCTATGCAGGTGGAGGGAATTACCGCTGGGATCACTCAGCCTCCGTGTGTCGGTCCCTTGGCAGATAAATCTTGGGCAGTCTTAAATATCCCCCCCCTCCTTTTTGTTTTGGGGGTTTTGTTCTGTTTTGGTTTTTTTATTGTCACATTTATGTAACAAGTGCCTGCCTGCACGTTAGATTGGTGTTGCCGTCTAGGGCGTTGCATGCTCTGGGGGTGCTGTATCCAGTGCTGTGTCTGAACATTAAAAAAAATGTCTTTCCGTTGAAGAAGACAGGGGTTAAAATGAATGAAGATCTGAAGGTTAATTTGAGCTGGCTGCCTCAGGATCATGTAGAAGCCAGCTCTACCGAGAATGCCTCAGCCGCAGGCTCCTCCCTGGTTCCTGTCGTAGACCCAGAGCCAGAGCTTTTGGTAAACCCCTGGGACATTGTCTTGTGTACTTCAGGGACCCTTATCTCCTGCGAAAATGCCATTGTGGTTCTTATCATTTTCCATAATCCCAGTCTTCGTGCCCCCATGTTCCTCCTGATAGGCAGCCTGGCGCTGGCAGATCTCTTAGCGGGCATTGGATTGATCATCAATTTCGTTTTTGCATACCTTCTGCAATCAGAAGCTACGAAACTGGTTACGGTTGGACTGATTGTTGCCTCTTTCTCAGCATCTGTTGCCAGCTTGCTGGCTATTACTGTTGATCGTTACCTTTCCCTGTATTACGCTTTGACTTACAATTCAGAGAGGACTGTCACTTTTACCTATGTCATGCTTATTTTGCTCTGGGGAGCATCTATCTGTATTGGACTGCTGCCTGTAATGGGCTGGAACTGCCTCAGAGATGAATCCACCTGCAGTGTTATCAGACCGCTCACTAAAAACAATGCAGCTGTCCTTTCAGTCTCTTTCTTGCTTATGTTTGCCCTCATGCTGCAGCTCTACATTCAAATCTGTAAAATCGTGATGCGCCATGCCCATCAGATTGCCTTGCAACACCATTTCCTGGCCACTTCCCACTATGTGACCACACGAAAAGGAGTGTCTACTTTGGCCATTATTTTGGGGACTTTTGCTGCTTGCTGGATGCCTTTTACGCTCTATTCTTTAATAGCAGATTACACCTATCCTTCTATATACACCTATGCCACCCTCCTGCCAGCTACCTACAATTCCATCATCAATCCTGTAATATATGCTTTTAGAAACCAGGAGATACAGAAAGCACTTTGGCTCATCTGTTGTGGCTGTATTCCTTCTAACCTGTCTCAGAGAGCAAGATCACCCAGTGATGTCTGATTGGCAGCTAGGAGGATGCTCCTTAACACATCACTTTCCAGACATTCTTGTGATGCTGTCTTTGGTTTAGATTCTTTCATTAAATGGTGTGTGATGGGTTCATATAAAAGCCACAGGATGCACTGACCTTTTTGTAAACAGAAAACCCCAGTGACCAAAATGAATCAAGTGGTTTAAGAGAGATTTCCAAAAATCTTAAATAATCAGTGTTCTTACAGATTTATAATGTTGCTCAGGGTCTTTTTGTTATATTACCCAGACTTTACCATGTTTGCCATGATTTTACATTAAGCTTGCAAATTAAAATTAGATTGAAACAGCATACCTCCTTTGAAATTGTTTATATGATTGAGTTTAGTCATACTGCATGTTACAGTCTGTTGTCAGGGTATTTTTTCCCTTTTTAATTCTTTTTAAAGCAGAAAAAAGAAAACCCGAGTTCTGTTACCCCATTTGTATATCATCAGAATACTCTTCAAAATAATGGCCAATTGTACTGGTTTACATGGTATTTATTGTAATAATCTCAGTGCAACAAATTTGCTCTAAGTGAGGAAGTACTTGTATAGCTTTTTATTTTACATCTTGGCATGAATTACCGTGATAATTGTTTAAAGGGTTACCTGTTCTCTCCTGCGTTCTGGCTGGATGTTAAAGCAGAAGGTATGTTTTGCCTTCCTTTTCAAAAGTCAGCCATGTGTTTTCACTTAGATATGGGACATCAGAGCTCATTATACTTAACTTTAAAAGGAATTCAGGGGGGGTCTTTGAAATTGATGACACAACCTGGGCTCTTTTGGCTATGCATTTGTAATAGAGGCAACACTAAGTTTCTCAGATGAGTTTATCTTTTCAGAAGTGTATGAGAAAATGCCTAATAAAATAACCTACAAATTGCTTGCAACACATATTTAGCATCTACATGAAATGGTTCCCTTTAAGTTTGTTATCAAGTCAAAACTATTACCACTTGTTTTCATTGTTCTGCTATATAATTTAAAATACTGAAGTTTATAAATTCTCAGAGCATATCTGGTTCATAATTGTATGCAACCAGAACTGCAATATGAAACAATATTTTCTCCTTTTCTGGCAGTTTCAGCCATTACAGATTGTGATTCTTTGCACTGTACGCATGTCAGTTCACTTCATTATAGGATGATAGTTCTGGTCTAAAAAGCAGAGCTTCCTCTTGTGAATGGTTAAATTTCAAACCATTTCTAACTTTTTACTGAAGCCAAATTAGAATGCACTAGAAATAAAACATTGTTTTCTAATTTGAAGACTTGATTGTCAGAGAGAAAATCTTCCTGGCAGATGTCTTTGTGAAACTTGACGTGTACCTTAATGTCAGTGCATGGGAGTTTATAGTACCACTTCCATCAGTGTTGATGGGAGTTCAATGTGTTAATGCCCTGGCATCAGTAGGAGGTTATATTCCCTTGAATGTCAAAGTCAGCATACTGAAGTTGCTTTGGTATCTTCCATTACAATTTAAAAAAACCCCAACAAACTCAAGTGTACAAATAGCAATATTTACAGTTCCATGAAAAAATATACCTGTATAGTTTAGATAGTAGAGACAACTGTGTTGCTGGTCTGGATTTCTCCAAATGGAATCTGTCCTTTTCACATGGACATTTGGATTACTGTAGCTTTTTGTGGCAAAGTTTCTGTGACGTTAAGAATCATACGCTATATTCAAAGCTGAATCTCAAATGTGAATGAGTTGTCTGTAAACAAGGCTCTGTAGAGATTTTTATGAGCAATAATTAATTTTAGTTGCAATGCTGGGTTCAAATTCCATTATTTACTTGATTCAACCTTCACGATGTTTGGCTCTTACTTTGTAATCTGATTAGTTTAATAATTGCATGGCATAGTCCAGCAGAGCTGTGAACTTGCAGCTCCCTTGGCTTCACTGCGATTTACAGATGCTCAGCACAGACTATGGCCCCTGCTCAGTGTAGGATATTGGTGTTCTTTATCTACTTCCAAATGCTAATGAAACTCTAATCATTGCATTTTGTTACGAATTTTTGTATAAGAAATAATCACTTCATAAATAACCATGCTATGTATGTGTGCAGTTCTGCATGTATGCAAAGTATTGGGAATAAATGGAGTAAAAGTCCTGAGCTGAATAATGTAGAGAGGCTGAATAATGTAGAATGGCACTCTTAAAAGCAAAAAATAAGTTAGTCATGCAGTTAACCCCCCCCCTTTTTTTCCCCCCGTTTGGTCTTCTGTACCAAATTGCTAAAAAGAGTGATGAAGATGAGCAGCTACAGTCGTGACCAAAATTCAGTCATGAGGGCAATTATTGTTTTGCTTATGCAGACCTGTTCTCATCCTCTTGGATAACCTCACAGGCACAAGTGTTTTTGTCTCCACAATACTGGGGTGGTAGGGAAGGCAGAAAAAAACCAGCACAGAGGGAGATAATGTCGACCCATCTTCTCGTGCTGGTTCACCTAGTGTCCTTGTCATCTTCCTCGCTCCACAGGCTGCTCAAATCCGCAGAGGCACTCCAGAGTGCCAGGGGAGCCGACCTTTTCCTTGTGCCAGAGCAGAGAGATTTGTAATTGGAAGCTCCTCTCCTGAGAAGCAGCGCAAGTCAAACAGAGGAAAGAAGGCTTAATTATAGAAGTCCCACAAAGCTAGCTCATAGGCATGTGTTCTGCCCTCGTTTGAGGAGTAGCGCATGGTTACCTTTCACCACAAACCGATGAGAAGCATGATTATGCCTCCCAAGCCACTGCTATGACCTCCAGTGAGGATGTTGTCTCTTCCAGAAATATGTTCTTAAATTGAGACTGTGCAGCATAGGCCAGAAAATCCTTCTGGAAGTCAATGACATAGGTTTGCCCACAGCTGTCAGACCAAACTTAACATGGTTTGCAGCACTGGATAGATGCTCTGTAACACGCCTGGGAACCATCTCTTTGAGGAAAGGCAGAGCTGTGGGTACAAAGCTGCCTGCCTCACTTGCCCAGAAGAAATGCTTGACACACAGCCACTTTTCTGACCCTGCAGAATTAAGCAAGTCTCTGCTTTCATCTCAGAGTTACCGTGTAGACCCTGGTTCTGTATGGCACGGTGCCAGTATCCATCCAAGATCCCTCTGAAACTGGCAGGAATCCAGCCAGCTTACAGGATTCTGTCATTTTGCTGTCCCATCAAACAACACCTGTGTGTAAGACCAGGGGTGCTGGATTCACCACTTTATGTACAGTGGAGTATCTTTCATACCTCCATCATCATGACAAAAGACTTTTCTCTTAATGAGTAATTTAGTTTAAAGAATTGAAGTTCATTTTTATTTATTAACATGCTTGACCCAACAGGTTGTGTCTTGATGGGCAAAATTTACTATAGTCAGTTTTTTTCATATATTCATCCTCAAAGCTTGGGAGAGGATTTTTTGGGGGTCTTTTAACCATTTCTCCTAACAGTAAGATTTCAGCAATAAGGGGAAACATATTTTTAACACAAGAGCAATAAAATTCCTCCATGTTGTGGGTACTAGAAACTGCTGAGTAAACTCAGAGCAATAGAGAGGAAGCAATATATTCTTTAGGCAAAAAAATAGTAACTTGCATAAGGACTTCAGGTAAGCAGAAGTCTTCCTTTGTTAACCAATTCCTATCGGATTGATCTGGGATATTATTTCTGGTTGGTTTGTGTTACACTTAATCAAATTCCTGAATAGAATTACTCAGCAATAACCTTTTACCTTAGTTCTTGGACCCTGAATGTGTGCTATTTGCAAGAGAGAGTTATGTATTGCATGGGGATTTTTATTCTTTTCATTGTTTGGCATTTAGTTGTACAGCATTCGGTGGATAAATTTATTGCGTTCAGGATTTCTGATGGTAACTTAATACTGCAAATACTCTTCACCAAACAAAAACTGAGAACACCTGAATTTGTCATGCCCATCAAGATGGATATGATAAATGGTGCTAGCCCATTCTGAAGACAGCTTGTCTTTTAAAAGAACAAGATTACTGTATCATTGAAGAAAACCCTTACCAATACCTAGGGTATTTGGAAGCAAGGTGAAAGGCCTGCTATTGCTGCTGTATCTTCCTACCATGGACACTCAGTGACATAAGCAGCTGCCTCCATCCTTCATGTTCAGGGACCAGCCTTGAGACATCTTGGAGTCACTAAAACCCATTTACGGACAGCACTGAACTTTGGCTTAGACCAGCAGCCGTTCTGTCCCCAAAGAGTTATTTTTCTGTTGCTTCATTTTCTTAGGGGCTGTTTAGCTTTTAAAAATAAGATACTTGTGGATTCATTTCTCAAAAGTGATGAGCAACCTGCAATGTGACTGGAAGTTGGGATAAAATAGCATTTCTACAAATCAAGCCCCTGAAACATAACTACACACTCATTACTTTTAAAAAAATGTGGTTCTGTAACATTCAGAACCATATTTTCAAAATGTTGGCCTTGACTTTTATGGAGAGAAAGTATGTATGGTCTGCTTTTTTGTATGTACAATAAATAAAGAAAAATAATAGTTGGACAGAGTGGTTGCTATTTAAAAAAACCACCACTTTATCTGAGATACTGAATGGTTCTTAGTCCTTGAAACAGAAACCAACTCTGGCAGCTTTCTAGAAAATTCTGAATACCCACAAGTTGGTGTAAAAGCTTTGTATCAAAAGTAGGAGGACTAGCATGGTTGCCAGTGCAAAATAATTTGATGTAACAGCTCTGTTGTGAGTGGGGAGTAAGAACAGTATACCTGCACACCAGCTGTAGACAGATCAAGTCCTAGGTGTATAGGAATAAGCACCAGAAAAAGGTGAACAGCATTTCTTTAAATCGTACTGCTGCAAGAAGACAGTATCACATAGACTCTCACTGGATACGGATCCTATGTTGTAAGAACTCAAGAATATTTTAAAGTGCTACTGGCAAACTATTTAGGAAGAGGTACCGTGGTGGTGTACTTTTTGAGGGGGATCAAGAATGCAGCTAGGTCT